TTTAAATTCAAGAAAATAATTCTTATGTGCTATTCATTTATAATCCTCATTTTTTACTGTCTCATGTATCCCAGAGATTTTAGTAGTCCTGTTTTTAGAAAGACATGAAAATAGATGCAATGATATCCACTTGTGTTTTGCATTTTCTAGCCATTGGAAAATGTGCATTATGTGCATATTAAGAAAGGCTACAAGGTAATTAGTAAGGCTGATAATCACTACATTGTGAAGAAACTAGAATATCACTTTTTATAAAAGGACAATTTAGAACTGTGCAGGGACAATATTCATAACAGAAATATTTAAACACCCATGCAAAGAAAAGCTAAAAATGTTATGGAATTTAAATTATAGGCAACTTTGTTTGAATTAATTATGTTTAAAATGATCATGGTTGAATGCAAATAATGGAACCAAGAAAAAAAAAAAGATACAAGCTAATGAACTGTCCAGTGGCTTCAAATAGCGCAAGGACACACACATGGGCATCAGATTAGAGAACATGTGACACAGGAGTGACATTTGGCTTTGGAACTCAAAAAACATAAAGTTCTGTTTTTCATCATTTTGGATTATACTTATCTTTATCACAAAAAAACACTTCTCAAAGCAAATTAAAATTTGATATCAGAATTTTGCATATATCTACAGAAATGTTCGACTTCAATTTCTAAAACAAAAGTCCTAACAGCTCTCTTAAGAGTGCTGCTTTTTTTTAATGATTTCTTTAGGGCAGTATCTTAATTTGCATTCTGTTCACTCTTTACTATTTTTCCCCATCTCCCTAGTGCATTTGGAAAATGTTTTTTAAACCTTTGGTGTGAAGCAATGACCTTCCCCCCGCCCCTCCATTTTCCCTCTTTTTTCCTTTTCTCTTTCCTTTTTTGTTTTTTCGATAATTCTGGAATCTTTGGTTAAAAGGAACAATACTATCTAAAGACAAAATGCTATTATTAAAAAAAGCCTGTAGTATGTATTGTGTGTAATATATTTCTGGAGCTGGTATGAATAAACATTTTTATTTCCTGTAGTGCCATCTATACAAACTCTCACTCTTTGAAATTTGAGATTTAAGTTGCAAACTTTGGTTTCTTGAACTCTGGCATATAAAAAAACTTTATTTCATTTTTGATTTTCCCAATTGCCATTTCTAAGGCTATCTCTTGGTTGTTACATTGACTACACAAACATTACAGTGTTTCCCATAGAGGGGGAGACAGTGAGAGTGAGTGAGCAGGTGAGGGAAAGAAGATGTGTGTGTGTATGTGTGTGTGTGTGTGCGACTGTGTGTGTCTGTGTGTGTGTGATAGCAAATTGTAACCCTTCTGTCTGGGATTCCCAAACCATTTATGCAAAAGGGTGTTTAAATGACTCTGCTGGGGCACTGCAGTAACCATACTTAGTAAAAAATAAATAAAAATTAAGAAAAAAAAAACTAAACAATTATTTGTATCTACTGACTATTCATTTACACCATGTTCAATTATTTACATATTATAACACAACAACTTAAGCCATAAACAGAATTTGCACATTGCCTTACCATAAAATACAAATTAGAAGTTAAAAATATTTAAGAAATCTGTTTTAATATTTACACACGCTCAGTGAAAGTTATGGTTGCTCACATTACATGTACTCTGTACACTTAGCAAAATGGTATGATTGCTACAGTTGTAAGTATTTTGCCCTAACCAACATGGTGGGGTTTAGTTTCTTTTTTTTTTTTTTTCCCTCCTCCTAGAAGGAATTTTTATCATTTTCCATTTTCTTAAGACATTTTTGTTTTTATATCACCAATGGACAATGTTATTTGTTTCCTTGAAAAAGAGAGCAATTAGACAAGCCATGTGACAACTACTTAATCTGTGATGTTCCGAGGTACAGTACTATTGTGGTGTCAGACTGTGCAGTTCATAAGAACTGTAGGCATTGATCTGCTGATAGAGAAATGCTCAGTACCCTGTATTACTTATTTCAATGTTGATTGTTGGTTGCCCAATTAATAATACTCATACACTGGTTTAATGAAGGAAATAAAACATATTAGCTTATTCCTTTTGTTTCCCAACATATGAATGCATATATATGTATGTATGTTTATATGAATCTATATAGACACATATATACATGGAGATATGTTGTAAGACATGTTTTTTATTGACCTTGTTTTGCTGTTTTTGTTGCTGAGTATGAAGTTCATCATAAAACTGGAACACAGTTACCTACAGAAAATGGAAGTTGTCTTTGTTGCCAATTTAACGCAGGTAGGTCTTGCTTAAAATAAATGTGATTCATTTCTCCATTATGCATTCCACCACACTTTCTCTATGTGTTGTGCTTTTGTAAGCTGACAAATTTTTTTGTGTTCCTAATGCTAGAATGTAAAGTCTTTTGGTTCATAAACCACTTTTATTATTATTATTATTATTTATTATTTTACTTAGCACTGCTTTTGAAGAAATGAGAAGAGAAAAGGTCTAGATGGCACTGCTTGAGTCTTTTCCCCTGTTATTAAATTTGAAGTAGAAAGAATTGTAACATTCCTTATGTTGCATGAGTTTTCAATTCTGAAGTGCATTTCATACCTACTAGCAGTCATGTACAATATATATATACAGATTGAGATCAAAGAATTCATGTAGACTGTGCATTTTAGAGTCAGAATTTGTCTATGAATTTCACGAAGATGAAAAAACACCTTAATTGCTGGCTATCTGACTGTTTTGTAATCAAAAGAAAACTATACATATGTATAAACTGATAGTAATACCACATCAGAACTGCTGAAACACACCATTGTGGTCCTTCAGTTTAACCACTGGATATCAAGCTAATGAGTCTTCCAAGACTTATTAGTCTAGCACCCTTCCCTCCATCTGATGACTGCATTCCAATTCAGCTAGCGGAAACATATAGTTTAAGAACAAATTCTACATCTACTGTTATTTCTTGACAGGATGAGTCAGTTGTTTCTACCTATGTGGTTACTGAGTGCCAACGTATGGCTTTCACTCTAGGGCATGGGTTCTAAGGTCCCCTCATTTCTCCTTTGTCTAGTTTCTTGTATCACTGAGAGAAGACATGAATTCCTGGTCATCTGCTTTTGAGGCTCACGCTAAGAAGATCCTTCTCTCTGCTTTGATCTAGATTGCTCTGTTGACTTCCCCAGACACCTAAAATTATGTTGTAACTATAAATGACAATATCAAGGATTTTTATGGCTTTTAGAGTAATTGCACATAAGAGCCCACTTCTAGACTTGGGCTCTGAGTTGTCTCTAGAAAAGCCTTTCCAGAATGGCATTTTAAAGTTGTGCCCCTGAGTTATTGATATCCTCCTTCCCGATATTTTCTACTCAAACTTTATCCCCTGGTGACAAGGAGCAGGCACTTTTTTTAGTGTGATGCCCCAAAATGATTGCCTAGGAGAAAGTGTGTCCCTGGAGAAACATGAGGAGTCTCTATTGTGAGCCTATAGGAACAACCTGCGTCACATCCTGCTCAAAGATTATACTCAGAGGTGTTTAAGTATGTAATCAAAATATAAGGGACAGAGTTCCCTAGACCAGTGGAAAAAAAAAAAAATACCATCCCATATTGGGCCAAATTCAGAAAGCTGAATGATGAACTTTTGTTGTTGCTGTTGTGCTCTGACAGCTGGAATGCAGGGAAACAGTATTCTATCACATTCCAAGCTGCTGAATCACAAATATACATTTTATCCATAGGCAGATAATGGCTGCTGTAACATTAGGGATGTTACTCTAAAAAGAAGAGGGTTTTTTTGTTTTGTTTTGTTTTCAAAATAGACCATAGCGAAGTTATTGTCCAAGAAAAAGTTCAATCAAATTAAACTTTGACAAAAATTTAGCAATTATTTTCTGTAAGAAAAACAAAATATGAACCTCACATTATTGAAATAAAATACATTAGCTTATTCTCTTTCCTGTCCAGCAGATGAAAGCGTATGTTCAATTAGTATAGAAAGAAGCACAATGACATAATTTAAAAATAGAATTAAAATAACACATTGTGCCTGCCTGATTATCAGTTATATATTTTTCTGCAATATCAACTCAGGCTTGTAACATACATCATGTTAATGTAGCTTTGTTGTTATCTTATTTTCCACTGGTTTTCATATTTTCCTTGATTAGGCAGATTGCAACATACACAGCAAAAGCACCCTTAAAGAATCAAACCCAATAAACCCACAAATTACCTCTACTTGTGTACATACTTTCTGAAAGTATTTTTTGCCTTGAAAAATACAACAGTGAATTTCATTGCACATAAGAAAATACTGTTCACTCAATCTCTCCGAAACCTTACTTTGTTTGTCTCCTAAGAATATAATCAGAATTTTGGAAGCAAGAAAAGCTGGAGAGGACCATTAATTCCTTAAAGTGATGAACCGAACTTTCTTTTGAAATATCCTATTAAATTCAGAGATAAACTTATAAGGAAGTGCTGCAGAAACAGCTGACGTCTGAGATAAACAATCTGCTTATTAGCTTTGTCTGTGTTCCATATTTGTATATTCAAATGACTACCAATGTGACCTGTACATCTAAGATGCTTTTAATCTCCCTAACTTTTCTATTTCATGGTTGTCTTTTGATTAGATAAACGATAAAAACCTCTTTAGGTATGCTGTCAAAAGCTTGCGAAGTTGAAAAAAATTCCTCTTGCTCTACCCTTTGCCACTGGACATAGTATGTAGAAACCAGATGCTGTGTGGGCTGATAAGGGTTATGCTTGCCTGTCTGCTTGCTTTAATTTTGTTCCAACAGGCATTTCTGGATTTTCTACTCTGCTCTGTGTTGTTAACTCTTATTTTAACCACTTGGGAAATAGCTTTTTAGTGAAAATTTCTTTGGCCACCATGCATGATAATGTTCAGAAGTCTTCTAGTCTCTAAATGCTAAAATGAAAGACATCATAGGTGATTCCCTGTGCTTAAGCAAAGAGACTGGACAAATTGGTTTCCTGAGTCTCTGTCTTGACTCTCCTTATCCTGCTCCAACTAAGTGAGAATCTTCTAGAATCCAGTGGGAATCATCTTCCCATGACACCATTATCACCTTCATAAGACAGGCATAGACCATCTTCAAGTAACGTGTTTGCACGGCACTGCAGATGATGTTCATAAGCACAGTGCCATCTCAAAAGCATGCCAATCATAGAAATGAAGATGGATATCTGGACATGACCACTTCTCAGGGAAATGACTGACAATGCTATTGAGCCTCCTAAGAATATCTTCTAAGTAATTCCTCTCCGCGTAGGCTGCAAGCTAAACAGGTAAAGTAGAACACTCAGACTGAATCTTGCCAGCATGTGTACAAATCACTTGCACTTTCTCTGGAAAACCACAAGGACCTTAGCGTATTCATTACTTAGCAGAAGCAACCCAAATGGTATGAAATGGACCACAGGATAGGCCAGCAACTAAGGTATTTTAGCATCACTTTTGTCCTGAATTGATGTGTTTTCCAAGTCCTACATCAGGCTGTACAACTGGTTTGAGGAGGAATCTAGTCTTTGCTTCCCATGGGAGGCTATGTTTTAGTTCACATAATAAAGCCAATAGACGATGTTGAAGAAGGAAAAAACCACTGGGAAGAATATGCGGGACCACCGATCTATGGCATTCACATCAGTCAAGTCGGGGATGGTGATTTTCAGTTGGGAAGCGCGTCTCCTCAGGCGACTTTTCTTTTGTGCCACGTGTCGTTCCAGAGCATTTCTGCCAAAACTATGCCTGGGCAATCCGGCTTTCCGATACTGAATGCTGGAGGCATCGTAAGCCAGCATCGTGCTCCTGGGGTCTCCAAGTCCCATCACAGCCTCAGATGTGGCCATTTCATTTTTTATCTCGAGAGTGCTCAGTAAGATGTTCTCATGGGGGTCCATCTGCAAAGGGGAAGAATCAAAACAGTCAAAACAATGAGGCTTTATTTGTGCTATGCAAGACACTAAGATAGGCACTGCAGGTAGTATTTATCCCAGTGGTAAAGAGAGCTGGCTTTGTGATTACATCACCTGAGTTTGAAATGTGGCTCTGCCACTGGAGGCTATTTGAGGTTCAGTTTCCCCTTCCGTTAAATGACATATGACTCCAACCCCAGAGGATTGCTGTAATGATGCAATTATATAATAGACTGTTGCTAGTATCGTTTTCATTATTTCTACTTAGGGCATGCAGGAAATTGAAGGCATGACACCCTTTTAAAAAAAGTATATTCTTCATATGAACACATACAAAAATTAAACTATACTAAGTATGGCTAGTGTCAGGGAATTAATTACTGAATTGTGTTTATCATAGTAGCCTAATTATAGACGAATCGATAGCAAAACTAAAACTAAAAATAGTGGGCAATTATCAAGTACTTGCTATATATGCCAGGCACTTTTTTGTACAATTTCATTTAATTGATGATTCCTAACACCCATAATTATGATATGTCACCTTAAATCTGCAATGTCAATATAAACAGGGTAAAGGAATAGTTTTGAAGAATATAAATGCAGGGTACATGTGACTTTCCAAAATACAAAAGAATTCATAATGAAGGAAGAAATGTCTAACAGCTGGATAGACTGTGGCTGGTGGAGGTTTGAGTGGAGGATGGACTGAGAAGAGGGAAGGGAAGGGGCAGGGTTAGAGCAGGAAATAGAATGTCTGGAGTTGACCGTTCTCACTTGAAGTCTGGGTCTCAAGACTACAATTAGGTGGCTGTACGGAGAGTCAAATCATCTCTCTTGGATGATTTCTTCCTGCAAATCTAAAATTAAAAGATGAACACTGACATCATGATTCCCACATATTACATTATTACATAATGTCTTTTCTTGTGTTAAGCAGGGAAGACTTGTGTGCCTTATTTTTAAGAGGCCTCAATTGCTACACAGAGCAAAACCTAGCCACAACAAGTTATTCTTAATAACAAAGTACATTTATGTTGGTGGAGAATCAGGATATACTAATTGCCAGTAACATTTCTGAAATTCTAAGAAACCAATGGTCAATGATAGGCACTGATAATATATGGAATTAAGATATATAACCGAACACTTAATTGGAAGATACAGTGCTCTGAGCTTCACGAATTATGCAAAAGGCAAAAAGAATGTTGCTAAGATTATATATTAACAATTAGCTTTCAAATGTGGTTTAATGGCCCTGTATTACAAATTCAAATCTATAACCTTTTGAGGAATAGAAGCTATAAAATACACCAGGACATAATAGTTGACCAATTAATCTCTGCCCACTGATCAGACATTCTGTATGTTTGGTTTTGTACCATTTTGCTTAGTGGAAATACTAACCAAATATATTAATAAAGTTGATTTCAAAAGTTTAAGATTTTTAAACAAAACTAAATAAATGTGGAAAGCAATCTGTCAAGGTACGGCCAGGCAATGCCTTTACCGATGGGTTTCCTCATCCTAGGGAAAGAAAGGAACATTCAAAGACTCCTGCTATGTGCCAGTGCTTTGCTGTAACTGTTTCATTGAATGCTCACAACCATCCTGCAAAAAGGCATGAGGTTACAGTTGAAGACATTCATCAAATTTCCCAAAGTCACACAGTTACTATTGGTAGAACTGGAATTCAAACCTTGATCATCGGAGTACAAATGCTAGGGGAAAGTGGGGCCTTTCTAACACTCAAGGAAAGTGAAGCCAATGGAAATGAGAAACCTATTGCTCCTGTTATTTCACTAGCATGCTTATTTTCTGTTCTTCTCTGAGTCGTTAACTCTTCCTTTAACCACCTAGGGAACAGACTTTTAGTAAAATTTTTGGGCCACTATGCATGATGCTGTTCAGGAGTCTCCACATCTCTAAGTACCAGGATGTTTGTTTTTCTGATGAGGAATTGTAAGAACAGTTACACGATCTGACACCAGGACCGGCTGACTTAAAAATGTAAAACAACAGTAACGACCATAATAAAAACTATTGGCAGCAATGGATTATTATGAAGGGAAACTTGTTCTAAGTTTAAAACAAATTATCTTTAGATAATTCATTTAACCTTAGCGGGTTTCTATTTTGTTATTGAAAATTCAAGAGTTGGATTAGATTATTCCTGAAGCCCTATTATTTACTTATTTTTTCATTCACAAATTTTTAAAACATTGATTGAACACCCACTGTGTGCCTGGCACTGTGCCCAGTATTGCAGAGAGTCATGAGGAAGACAGAATTGCTGCTCGGTCCTCCTGGCAGTCACAGTCTCCAGAAAAAATACTGGAGTTGGAGACAAAATATTGTAGTTATGGCTCTTCTACTTGTTATTTTTGACCTGGAAAAATTACTTAATCCCTCTGAATCTAAGTTTCTTCAACTGTATTGGGGTCAAAGAGCAGGATTTGAGGAGATTAACTGAAATAAAACATGAGAGAAGAACTTGGGAAACTAAAGCACTCTGCAAAGTTGTTATGATATGCTATAAATGAAGTAGGATATTTATGCCCTCCAGTGACATGGCAAAAAACAATAATCAACCATGCCCAAAAGATAAATAAGTACATTGCCCTTGCAGTATATAGATATGGGTGATGACCTTTCTGTAGGTAAAACCAATCACCTCAACCCTACTAGAGACCCTTAAGTGGGAGGATGGTGGTGGTGGGTGAGGCGTACTGGACACCTGTATCATCTTATGAAGTGCTGCACTCCTTGAGATCTCTCATGTCATTAGAATCCTTCAACCTTTAAATATGACTGCTTGAATAGACTTAATTAAAGCTTAATAGTCCAGGAATAAATTAACCTGAACAAGAAAAATAGCATTGTTTTCCAGAAAATTCCTATGCATAACCATGGAGCTGTGAAGTGGCTAGGGATAAAGTATAACCATCTTTACCTGTAATTTAATGTCTCTTGATTAACAGATACATGGAGGTTATAGTTCATTAGACTGCACATCAGGGTGAAGCTGTAAGATGCTGCTCCAATTACCCCATCTTGTCCTTCTTTGAAGGACTAGTTTGCTCCACCACTTTTTCATATTTTCTATAAAGCCTTCCATATATGCCAACCTTCTTCACTCAAAAATTAGCTTAATCCCTCCCATGAGGCCACACCACAGTGTCCATTTGCCCCATTTTTGGAATTACCAAGACTTGAGTTTTCCTCTGGGAGTCTGGAATGGTGGCTTCATCAACCCCTGGAACTGTGTCTGTTCTCTGTAGCAGCGGACACATTGTGCAGTGTTTCCATGTTTTGAATCTCGACTTAGATATATCTATCAGGTTTTGATTCTGGGTTGAGCCACTCACCAGCTTTGAGACCTTGGGCAAATCATTCAACCTCTCTGAACTCAAGTTTTCTTATATGTAAAGTGGGGAAAATGCCAATACCAGTCTCCTAGGATTGTTTGGGAGGATTAAATAACACAGCACATGCAAAGCACTTAGCCCAGTTTTGTACATAGTAAGCACTCAAAAAATCATAACTGATCTTGTTATAAAAATGCAATAAATATTCAATAAATGAATAAATTTGATCTTCTAGTGTCATTTATTTATACATTTTTTAAATTTTTTATTTTTTAGAGATGGGGGGCCCACTACGTTGCCCACACTGGAGGGCAGTGGCTATCATAGGTGCATCATAGCTCAGTGTAGTCTCAAACTCCTGGGCTCAAGTGATCCTCCTGCCTCAGCCTCTCAAGTCCTGGGACTGGTTAACAAACCAGAACTTTGAAATGCATCAGATATTTTAACTTTGCTTTCATTAGTGGCTTCTGTAAAGTGCTGAGAACAATGCTTAGTACATAATAAACGCTATACATTTTTGTTATGGTATATAAGTAAATTTATTAAATAAAATAGCAAGTTTAGACTGAGTTATTTCCAAATGCTCAAGTGAGATAAATAGAAGCTGCCTTTCATTTCATAGGTGGAGAGGGAGCACTTATTTCACAGACCTTACTATGTGTCCTAGATCTACAGAGAGCCCACCAACATTGTCCTAACCACAGAGGAAAACAGAGCCCAAAGGCTAGGACCAAACAGAGAGACATACCCAGTGCTGATGTGGCGGAACAGGGAGCACCTGTCTTGTCTTTGCTCATGACACTTTGATATTCCAGTATAATGCTGGCCACAGCAATTATAATCAATTGCTTCATATCTGTCTTCCCCACCAGACTATATTTCTTGATGAGGACAGACACAAAGTCTGTCTCATCCATCACTGTATCCCTAAGCATCTGGCATGGTACCTGGCACATAGTGGGTGCTTAAAAAATAAATCCTGATTGGTGAAATTAATTTTGCTACCCTAGAAACTTACTGCACCTCTTCATGAGTCATTGATAAGATGGATTTAGTTTTGCACCACCAATCTAAAGACTGGAACTTCATGGGGCCATGTCTTGAATTCTTTCCCTGCTCTGAGGCTTTTGCCTCTGTTTATATAGGTCTCTTTCTAGAGCAGCATACTCAGGCCCCTGAGACCTGGAAACTGCACTTCTCATAGTGCCATTTCCATAACAGATATCTCATTATTATACCAGAGAAGGAAACTTAGTGAGTAGCAACTAGAAGCCAGGACTGAGCATTTTTCATAGTGACCTCTTTCAGGTATCACGGTAGCACTCATTGATCTCATGTTTAGAAAATAAAGCACAAAGAGTTTAAGAAAACACTAACACAAGTTCACAGAGTGAATAGGTGGCAGAGAAGGAATTAGAATCAGGTTTCTTTCACATTGCCATGCTGAGGCACAGTGGCTCAGACAAGCCCTGCAGCAGGCACAAAAGAAGGCCCTCTCAGTGCATGGATGGGGCAGTCATCTGGAGGCTTGCAAAATTTTTCTTAATGAGAGGTGGATAAGAACATCTGGAGCTAGATCTGTCACTACAAGTGAGAGCTGTTGAAAAGTCATGTTAA